ACTTCAATCACTCAGGATCAATGGGTATTAGAAACCCTAAGGGAAGGGTTAAAATTGGAGTTTATGATTCAACCCCATGTAAAGATCAAGGAAACGTGTGTACCAAGATATGGTATTCACGAATCAGTTATTTTAACAGAAATAAGCATGTTGTTAGAAAAAGATGTTATAGAACCTGTACCTGTCACTCAAGAAAACGAAGGGTTTTACAGCACCATTTTTGTGGTGCCAAAGAAACAAGGAGGGCTTCGGACAATTCTAAATCTGAAACCTCTAAATCAGTTAATAGTGCCTCGACATTTCAAAATGGAGACGCTATGTTCTATAATGAAAGCAATGAAAAAAGGGGACTTTGCAATCTCACTGGATTTGACCGATGCCTATTTTCACATTCCAATTCACACAGATTTCCAGAAATTTCTACGATTCAAATTTCTAGACCAGAGTTACCAGTTTCGAGCAATGCCCTTTGGACTTCGTTCAGCTCCAAGGGTCTTCACAAAAGTAATGGCAGTTCTTGCAGCACATTTAAGAAAAATGGTAATGCAAATATTTATGTACCTAGACGATTGGTTGATGATCAATTCAGACAAGACAACTCTTCTTCACCAGAGAGACTATGTAAATTATTAGTAAATTGGAAAAAGTCGTCTCTAGTGCCATCCCAACATATAGAGTATCTAGGAGCACATTTCAATCTGGTAGAGGGCATCGCAACACCCACAGAATCCAGGTTTCAGAGTATTCTGGACATGGTGCAGACTTTATCAATAAGTCAGCACACTCAAGCGGTAGTAATTCTCAAATTGTTAGGACTGATGGCTTCATGCATTTATCTTGTTCCGATGGGAAGGTTACACATGCGTCCTATACAGTTATACCTGTTAGCAATGTGGAGACCAAAGATTCACCCTCTTACTCATGGGATAGTGATTCGTCCAATCTTAATTCAGCACCTTCAGTGGTGGATGAATCGGGAAAAATTTTTCAAAGGAATGCCTTTGCAAGATCCGCCAAGTCAACTGACTTTGATAACAGATGCGTCAGAACAGGGTTGGGGAGCACATCTGGAGAACTGGGAGACATCAGGGGTCTGGTCCCAGCAATATCAACAGAAACACATAAATTGGCTAGAGTTAAAGGCTGTACAATTAGCTCTTCAAGAAGCCTTATTTTTAATAAAAGGGAAAGTGATCCTTATACGGTCAGACAACACAACAGTGATAAGTTATATCAACAAGCAAGGGGGGACACATTCACCAGAACTGTGTTATCTAACTTGGGAGTTGTTCCAGTGGTGCATTCAGTACAAAATTACAATACGAGCTGTTCACATTCCAGGGAAAAAGAATTTTCTTGCAGATGCACTTTCCCGGGGAAAAATAGTACGAATGACGGAATGGTCGCTCAACAACACTGTTGTAAAATTGTTGTTTCAACAGATGGGAACCCCATGTATAGATTTGTTTGCAACTGCGCAAAACAAGAAGCTGCCAGTCTATTGCTCCCCATTTCCAGACATCAATGCTCTTCAAGTAGATGCACTAGCAACCAGTTGGAAAGGGATGTATGCTTATGCATTTCCACCACCAATTCTTGTGCCCAAAGTCTTACAGAAGATACGGGAAGAGGCAAGTGTTGTACTACTCATTGCTCCAATGTGGCCCAGGCAGTCTTGGTACCCTCAGTTAATAGATCTTTTGATCGATGTACCAGTCAAGTTACCACTGTGGCCAGATCTTCTGTCTCAAAATCACAATCAGAATTTTCATCAAAACCTAGAAACTCTCAATCTTGTAGCATGGAAACTGTCAAATTGCAACACAAGTCAAGAGGATTTTCTGAAGAAATTGCAGAAATTATGGCAAATGCCAGAAAGACATCTACACAAACAGTTTATGATGCAAAACTCAGAATATATAACAGTTGGTGTAAAGAACATGGTGTCAATCCCATTACAACATCTGTACCAGAGTTAGCAGAATTTTTTATCTACCTTTTCAAGGTGAGAAAGTGTAAACCACGGACTATAGCTGGTTATAAATCAGCAATAGCAATAGTTCATCAGAATGGAAGCAGTATTGGAACAAGTTCAGAACTTTCATCATTGTTGAAAGGCTTATTTAATAAACACCCTTCTGTACGTCAGTTAACACCAAACTGGAACTTACCGCTGGTTTTGTTAACTCTCACAAAACAACCATTTGAACCTCTAGAGTCAGCGGATTTAAAGTTCTTGACTCTTAAGACTGTTTTTCTGGTAGCCATTGCCTCAGCGTCTAGAGTGAGCGAGATTCATAGCCTCACTTTAGATGAGGGTCACTTTAGAATAGAGAGGAAAGGGATAAAAATGTTACCTAATATGGAATTCCTGGCAAAGACACAAACAATAAATAGACCTTGGGACCCTATTTATATTCCTGCATTTGATTCATATGCCACAGATTCAGAAGATTTGAAACTGTGTCCTTGTCGTGCTTTGAAGATTTATATCAATAGAACTAAAATGATTCGGAAGTCAAATAGATTGTTTGTGACCTACCAACAGAATAATCACAAAGAAGCATCAAAAGATTCCATTGCGAGATGGATAGTTAGCATGGTTCGTTTCGCATATGATAATGCAGAATCATCAACGTTAAATCTAGTTAGAGCACATGACACTAGGCGATTGTCAATTTCCTGGGCATTGTTTTGTGGTGTATCTTCAGAGGAGATTTTACGTGCAGCGCACTGGACATCTGAATCTACATTTACGTCATTTTATCTGAAGGATGTTCCAGATCATCAGTCCATTTTTGCCAAGGCAGCAATCTTGGACTCATCAAGGAGAGGGAAGCAAAATTAGGTAATAATGTATTTTTTTTTATGTACTTTTACCATTTACTCTTTCCTCCCACCTCCTCCAGTTTGGGCTGCAAATTCCTTTGCAAATAGTTAAGGAGGCAGGTAAGTGGAAATATTGAAATGAACTTGGATTTTTGGGGGTAAAATCCGTGTTCATGAGATATTTACACTTACCTGCCTCACCCGCCCACCTCCCCTCTCGAGGAAGTTGAAAGGTAAGAACCTTTTAATTTGTCGAGAGAAACTGAAGAGTTATAGTTAAGGGGGATAACTGGAGGTAATACCGTAGTGACTCTAAAAATTTATCGACGCATTGTATTGGGAACTAGAGGGAAATTGCAAATAGTTAAGGAGGCAGGTAAGTGTAAATATCTCATGAACACGGATTTTACCCCCAAAAATCCAATTCTTTGGGTATATATTTTATTTTTACCTTTTGACTCTGACCTTGGAGTTTGACCTACTGTAAAAAAATCCAATCTTGGTCATAGTACTAGAGCTTTCTAGTTTCACAGGTATATCTTGTGACAAGACCTTTCTTTACTTACTTAGTCCTCTTCGTGCTGCTCAGCACATAAGGCCGTCACCAGAGACTTCCATTTTGGTCTAGATCTGTTTTGTGTCCATCTCTGGACCAGTTGTTTTCTTTGATATCTTTCTCCACTGATCTTCTCCAGGTCTCTTTTGGTCTTCCTCTCATTCTCTTGCTGGTTGGTGTCCATCTCAATGCAACCCTTATGATGGAAGTTGGGTGCATTCAACATATGTGTCCTATCTACAGCCATTTTCTTTTCTTTATAGCTAGGGATAGAGGAGTGGTGTTAGTCCTTTTGTACAGCTCTTCATTGGAGATGGTATTTGGCCAGAAAATGCGTAATATTCTGCGAAGGCAAGGAGTCTGAAAGGCATCTAGCTTATATGAAATGGCTTCTGTAACTTTCCATGATTCAGCACCATACAGGAGGACCCCAAGCACACTTGAAAATCCTAATTTTGGTATTAATGCTGATCTTTGCTGACCTCCAGATGTTTTGCAGTGCTACATACGCTCCTGTGGCTTTTGAAATTCGAGCTAGTACATCTACCTCTGAGTTCCCATCTGTGGTGATCTTGCTTCCTAGATAGACAAAGTCTGTGACCTCTTCTATTTTTATATTATTTAGGGTGATGGGTTCGTCTGATTAAGTGTTGACCTTCATGATCTTAGTCTTGGTGTTGTTTATTTTCAGACCAATCTTTCCTGCTGTTTTTGCTAGCTGGTTGGTTTTTTCTTGCATATCACAATCTCGGTGAGCTAGCAGTGCTACATCATCTGCAAAATCTAGGTCTTCAAGCATTTCTGACATAGCCCAACTTATTCCCGTCCGCTTATTCTTTGTGGTTTCTCGCATGATCCAGTCAATGCAGAATGTGAAGAGAAGAGGGGAGAGCAGATATCCCTGTTTTACTCCAGTCTTCAATTTAAACTCCTCTGAAAGATTTGATCCACAGATAACTCTGGCATTTATGTCTGTATAAAGCATCTTAATGATGGAGGTGATTTTATCTGGGATCCCATAATCATGATAATGGCTGAGAATTTTTTCTAAGGCAAGGCGATTAACACTGTCAAAAGACCTTTCTTTGGGTACCAAAAATTTTGATCCTTTAACCTCGACCTTGGAGTTTGATCTACTTTTGAAAAACTTTAACCTTATCCATAACTTCAGAATGTTTGGTGCTAGAGCTTTCATTTTTCATATGTGTATTTCATGTGACGAGACCTTCCCTTGGTCATTAAGTTTGACCTTGACCTACTTTTGAAAAACTTTATCCTTCGCCAATTGCCATAACTTTTCAATAAATTGAATAAATTCAAACAGGAAAGGCAATAATGATGAATAACCAGTCATTCCATCATCAATGATTGATACTTAGTAGTCACGTTCGAAGACTGGTTACTCTTAGCCATTTTAAAACTATTAAGACCTCTTGGAAAAGAAAAGCTTTGTATAAAGTATGGGAAATTGCATTAAATATTATAGCTGGAGGATGGGGGGGGGGGGTAGTTCCTTTTCTAATTTATAATAGTTTCTGTCTATAGAAATATTATATTTCATATTTTAAGTGGAGATGTTGAAAAATTTGTTGACCACCCAGCCTCTTATTTACAGGATTGCGAAGATGTGTATTGTGAGGTGTGCCAGTGTATGTTTAAGAAAGCAGAGAAGCAATATCCTTGTCGAATCTGTGAAGGAATTTTCCACAAGGACTGTGTCATGGGAATAAAAAATCTCCACCCTTCCCATAAATCCACCATAGAGCGAGCAAATACCAAAATAGGATGGAGTTGTCCTGCCTGTGTAGGTTCATTGCTTTAGCTGAGAAATTATACTCTAGTTTTAGTGCTTGCAGATTCTGAGAAAATAAAGCGGAGAAAATGCTTACTGACTTTGGATTTTAAAAAAAAATGAAATTCATTTTGTTAAAGATATTATTAAGTGCTTTCATAATTTAAGGGTATGATATCTGAAAAAAAAAATATTTTTCACAGAAGGATTGAAATACAATGTACTCAGTACATTATTTTGAAAATAGAGATAAATTTCTCCTGAAGGAAGTATTTTAATGTATACCTGAACCATTTCTTTTCTAACATTAAATCGTCGAAAATGTGCAAAATTACTGTCGGATATATCACTCTGATAAAATTTTGATTATGACGAGTGGACTTCAAAATGCTTTCACGAAAGACATATCTCTGCTCGTACATTTTTTAGGATGATCTGAGCCTGTTATTGTCTGAAGACGAGTTGAACAATATTTTACAAACATTCGACGAAGAAATCAATCCAAAAGGTATTGAATTTTATTCCTTAAGTATCATATAATTATTCAGAAAAGTATAATATGAATTGTATAAATATATTATATTTGCAGGGGACCATATTTCTTTTGAGGAGTTTCTTGCTTTCAAAAAACGTCAATATGACATAACGGAAGATGATCACGATCACCTTCGCCTGGAGTTTCAATTGGTCGACACCGACTCCAACGGACAAATTGATTGGTGGGAGTTTCTAACGTATCAGGCCAAAATGAGGCTGTTTTCTCGTAGCCAGGTAAACGGAATTTCTCAACATTCCAACGAATCTAGAACAAACCAGTTAGCATTACTGTTGTTGTTGTTGTTGTCATCGTTGCCTCTTCTTCATCATCTCTCAGATGATTATCATCACTTTCATCATCTTCACACCTTTTTCTAATCATCACAGGAAGAGTTAGTGGACCTTCTGACCGTGAAGGAGATGGAGGTGGCACAATCTGCATTTTCTCGACTGAAGTTAAACAGAAGTGGGAGAGTGTCCCCAGGGGAATCAAGGCGACTCCTGTCAGAGTGGTACCGGTTTCTAGATGAACATGGGTAAGTGTAATTTGCTGTATTTGCAGTTTTATAACTATGTTTAAGTGTACTTATCGCAGTATTTTAGTTTTTGAATGAGGTCTTTCACTCCAAAACTTCATAAAATACTATGCTTGTTACTTTGTTTATAAAGAAATCCTTCTTTATCTGCAGCGGGAGAGAAGACGTTCTTGATAACTATGCAAGACTTGCAACAACTAGAGTTATGGCCCTGGATAAAACACCATTGCAGTAGGTTTTAATTTCATTTAAATACAGATATTGACACGGCATATAATAAATTATTTATTAATCTATTCATTTATTTATTGATTTCCTTTTAGGGATTTTTCCTGGAAAGATTTTTTAATGGGACAAGCCAGGTATATCATTGGAGCACGCCCTAACATTGTCAAAATTAAATGAGCAAAGTAGTTGCATGGTCGACAGGACCCTACGGTTCAGTGCGCGGTGTTCTGTAACCACTTGGAAAAAAGGAAATAAATTTTAAAAAAAGGTGCATGATACAAAGCGTGGAGCAAAATTTCTGGAAACTAGTGGTTTCAAACACTACATTCAGACAAGATTTCTGGAGTAGTTATATTTTGGAGTGTATGATTTTATTCTGTAACGAATGCAAAATTACGTGTACATATTAGAATGTAACAATGAAGTGATTTTTAAAAAAAAAACACATCTGATAAGGTATGGATTTTAAAGTAAAGGTATTCAAATTTTTATTTTCTTGATTTGATTACCTTTAAAAGAGAGCACATATTTTGGATAAAATTAGGGAAAAAAAGATAATGCTGAAGGAGGTGGACGAATTAGGCATTAGAAATGCTTTGATTTTTTAATAAAAAATAAACTTTCCTGTTTGACTGATGAGTGAATATTTTGAGACTCAAACAAAGCGCCGATGACTTTGTAGAACATTCAAAGACGCTTTTCAATACTGCTTAGCAGTACTTGTTTAGTGAGATAAGCTCACACTAAGTCCTTTACACGCGACATTACCGTAACCGTTATTTACTCTGACTTTAACACATGGTCCTTTGTGAATGTCTCTCTAACGTCTTATATATAGTATACAAGCCTGTTGCTCGATAGCATTGCTTTAACATTTACATAATATAAAGCAGAAATTAATGATCGTTTTGTCTACGTTGTTCAAAGGGACATAATTTGAGTTATCGAACTTTGAAACAAAACTTACATTATGCAAATTTCCAAATAAACATTCAATCACAAGGACAAATTGTATATAAAAGCTGTCTTTGGAGGGTGGATGGTGGGGAATATTTCTGATACATTGACAAGTAAAATAATTGTGCTTGTTTAAATACAAGTAGAATTGCACAATGCTGCACTCTGCTGCAATACAATGCGATACGTTGTGATGCCTGCCAAATTGTCCAATCAAAATTAACTTAGTCAATTTTTTTTCTTAATTCAATTTAAAAACTCATTGAATACACACACTTTTTTACATTCTATGCTTTGAAGAAAAGGTTTCAAAAACAGACTAGAGAGCATGTTTCTTTTATTCTCATATTCTTAAATATTTGTTTTCTTTAATATGAATCAAAATTAACAATCAGTAATTAAGTCGAAGGACTTTTGCAAAGTTATGTGTTACTGTTTTTTTTTTTTTTTTTTTTTTTTTTTTTATCGAGTGACTAGTTTCAGTATGCGCAAAAGATCCAAAAGAAATGAACACTCCTTTTTGATTGTTGAGTGGATTTTTTTTTTTGTTTGCAAGAGAATTTATACTGTTTACCATAATAAGAATTTTAACTGCATTTTATTGCACTGCACTACAATGCAATGTCAATTAATGAAATGAAGTCCATTTTTGTTTACATTTTGGTATTGAAAATAAGGTGTAAATTAACATATTTTCCAATATATTTTTGTTTTTAAAAAAGTTTTGAAAAACAGACTGGATAGAATATTTTCATTCACATTTTCTTATATGAGTGTTCTCTTTCATACGAATCTAAATTAACAAGCTAATTCAGAGAATTTGTGTCCCCCCCCCTTAGGGAAAAAATGAAGAGTATGTGCAGTTCGGGGGGGGGGGGGGATTTGAAGAATTATTAAATGTATACATGTATATTGAAGCAAATAAAAATGCCAATATGGATATAAAGATTTGATTGCTTATTCTTTAATATGTGTATAGAAGATTCTTTTTGATATATTGAATATTTATCACACTGTAATTATGATTTTATTAGTTTGTACACGCCAGACGCCATATCTTTTTCATTTTACATGTTGAATATCATTCAGTAAATCCAAAAAAAAAAAAAATAAATAAGTAAAGGATCGTCCTGGATTTGAACCCGTGTCTCTTGCTTACTGAGCAAACATCGTACCCCTGGACCACGGAGGCACTTAAATATACATCAAATTAAATGCAAACATTAGGTCACATATAATGTTTATATTCACGTTCGGTATTGTCAAAATTTTACACAATTCATGTTGTCTAATTTAACCTTTACTAAACAGTTCTAACAGATGTAATTATAATATAAAGTTCGCCGACAACCTGTATTATACGGAATAACTATCCACATGATTCTGTGCTAAAATTAGTTCCAAGCGACTTTTAATACAATAAATAAAAAAAAAAACAAAAACAGGGCGGGACTCTTTGGGAGGGGCGATGCAGTAATAATGTCGAAGGATTTTTCGACAAATTTTTTCATTGCTGTTTATTATTTTATGCAACGCGTAGTTTGGGTATATGAAAGATTGAAAAAGAGAGAAATCTCGTGTTTGACTGATGAGTGTAAATTTTGAGAGTGTTGCAGATAAGCACCAGCAAGGATAAACAGAATATATTCTGATAACAGTACTTAGAGCTAAGTTCTCATCAAAGAACAGTTACTTTTGCTGATTTTTTATTGAAAGACTGATATAGATATATGCGAAATATCCCGAGGAAAATTGGAGTGAAGTTCTTTAATTGCAAGCTAATTAATTTGCTTTTAAATAAAAATATAACTGTCCTACAATACATTGCATTGTACTGCTTGATGTACTGTCTAATTAAAACATACTTCGTCAATTTTTATTATTAGGCAAAACAGTTAAAAAAAAACTTTCCTGTTTGACTGATGAGTGAATATTTTGAGACTCAAACAAAGCGCCGATGACTTTGTAGAACATTCAAAGACGCTTTTCAATACTGCTTAGCAGTACTTGTTTAGTGAGATAAGCTCACACTAAGTCCTTTACACGCGACATTACCGTAACCGTTATTTACTCTGACTTTAACACATGGTCCTTTGTGAATGTCTCTCTAACGTCTTATATATAGTATACAAGCCTGTTGCTCGATAGCATTGCTTTAACATTTACATAATATAAAGCAGAAATTAATGATCGTTTTGTCTACGTTGTTCAAAGGGACATAATTTGAGTTATCGAACTTTGAAACAAAACTTACATTATGCAAATTTCCAAATAAACATTCAATCACAAGGACAAATTGTATATAAAAGCTGTCTTTGGAGGGTGGATGGTGGGGAATATTTCTGATACATTGACAAGTAAAATAATTGTGCTTGTTTAAATACAAGTAGAATTGCACAATGCTGCACTCTGCTGCAATACAATGCGATACGTTGTGATGCCTGCCAAATTGTCCAATCAAAATTAACTTAGTCAATTTTTTTTCTTAATTCAATTTAAAAACTCACTGAATACACACACTTTTCAAAATTAACTTAGTCAATTTTTTTTCTTAATTCAATTTAAAAACTCACTGAATACACACACTTTTTTACATTCCATGCTTTGAAGAAAAGGTTTCAAAAACAGACTAGAGAGCATGTTTCTTTTTATTCTCATATTCTTAAATATTTGTTTTCTTTAATATGAATCAAAATTAACAATCAGTAATTAAGTCGAAGGACTTTCCCAAAGTTATGTGTTACTGTTTTTTTTTTATCGAGTGACTAGTTTCAGTATGCGCAAAAGATCCAAAAGAAATGAACACTCCTTTTTGACTGATGAGTGGATTTTTATTTTTATTTATTTATTTTATTTTTTTTTTTTTTGCAAGAGAATTTATACTGTTTACCATAATAAGAATTTTAACTGCATTTTATTGCACTGCACTACAATGCAATGTCAATTAATGAAATGAAGTCCATTTTTGTTTACATTTTGGTATTGAAAATAAGGTGTAAATAAACATATTTTCCAATATATTTTTGTTTTTAAAAAAGTTTTGAAAAACAGACTGGATAGAATATTTTCATTCACATTTTCTTATATGAGTGTTCTCTTTCATACGAATCTAAATTAACAAGCCAATTCAGAGAATTTGTGCCCCCCCCCCCCCTTAGGGAAAAAATGAAGAGTATGTGCAGTTCGGGGGGGGGGGGGTCACCCCCACCCCCCTCCTGGAATTGAAGAATTATTAAATGTATACATGTATATTGAAGCAAATAAAAATGCCAATATGGATATAAAGATTTGATTGCTTATTCTTTAATACATGTATGTGTATAGAAGATTCTTTTTGATATATTGAATATTTATCACACTGTAATAATGATTTTATTAGTTTGTACACGCCAGACGCCATATCTTTTTCATTTTACATGTTGAATATCATTCAGTAAATCCAAAAAAAAAAAAATAAATAAAGGATCGTCCTGGATTTGAACCCGGGTCTCTCGCTAAATGAGCAAACATCGTACCCCTGGACCACGGAGGCACTTAAATATACATCAAATTAAATGCAAACATTAGGTCACATATAATGTTTATATTCACGTTCGATATTGTCAAAATTTTACACAATACATGTCGTCTAATTTAACCTTTACTAAACAGTTCTAACAGATGTAATTATAATATAAAGTCCGCCGACAACCTGTATTATACGGAATAACTATCCACATGATTCTGTGCTAAAATTAGTGCCAAGCGACTTTTAATACAATAAATAAAAAAACAAAACAAAGCGGGACTCTTTGGGAGGGGCGATGCAGTAATAATGTCGAAGGATTTTTCGACAATTTTTTTCATTGCTGTTTATTATATGAAAGATTGAAAAAGAGAAAAATCTCTTTTTCTCTTTTATTTGTCAATCTTTCAGTTGAACCTTGTCAGTTCAAGGTCAATGGCATTAAAAGTGTAAAATCCATGTCCTGTCCAAAATTCCTCATGGCAAAACACTGGAAGTATATACTTTACACAAAGATTGGTAATAACCCAAGAGTGTGTCGTGACCTTGACCCATTTTGACAAATTCAAGGTCACTAGCAGAAAAAGAATTAAATTCCAGTCAAGTCTGTAACTTTCGAATGGAGACGATTGTAAGTTCACACTTCACTAGCAATCGGATCATCTCGTCCTTTTCCGTCGAACGTGCGACGGAAAAGGGTGAGGTGATCCGATTGACTTCACTAGATGATCACTTATGACTAGAGAAATATCATGACCTTGACCTAAGGCATTATGGACCTGTTCAAAGTCAATTTCAAAAAATGTATAATTCCTGCTCTCTTCACATCGTTGTAATTGAAAAACATTGGAAGTTCATGCTTAAAATGACTCGGTATGTGTCATGACCTTGACCCAAGGTCAATTGAACAAGTTTAAAAAGTGTACAATCCATGTCTGGTCTATAATGGATACAACAGTTGTACAAAGATTGCAGCGTATCATTTTATAAGCTATCAAACAGCACCTCCAGTTTTACTGTTAAAAAAAGTCTATGGATACTTCACATTACAATGGATTTGAGATTTTATGTAGTTGAACAACCAGTGTAAAATCCATGCTGATCTAAGCATTTTATTACAATTTAATCCAAGAAACTTGATTAAATATCACTGATTGGAAATTTGTATCAATTATTCTACCCGCCGTAAAATTTCATGCAAAATGTTCTTTAAACAAGGTATTTCTCTTTTGACTTTTTTGAATCAAATAAATTGTATACGCGTTATTGCAAATATTCTTATTTAATCTTACGCAAAATGTAACAACGAAATGTAATAAACTGAGATCACTACACTTTGCATTACTACATTTTGCATATAGGTCAAAGTAGGAAGTTATAACGCAAGATGTAATTACATAATTTTGGGATTGTTATATTTTGTGTTATCATTTTGCATTATTACAGTTTGCGTCGAGGGTAACACAAAATGTTATAAAACACCCAATGGCTTTAATATTAAAATTTAGATATCATTGTAGACTGATTTAAATAACATTTTCCGATGTTTCAAAAATCTTTCAATACCATATGGTAACCCCCCCCCCAAAAAAAAATAGAATAAATAAATACATATGTATATTCACATTTTTGTTCCTAAGATTCTGTGTCGTAATTTACAAAAAAATTATCAACGCCAATCGAAATAATTATTTGTGTTACTTGAGGTAAAAACTTCCAAATTCAGGGAGAAACAATTTCTCGAGGCACAAAAGTTAAAAAAAAAATACTATTAAATATAAAAAAAACTTTTAACGTATAAGCTGTAGATAAAATTAAAACCTATTTGATTTATATAGAAATATTTTTAGGTATAAAAACAATAATTCAAAAGGACAAATCTTCCAACAGTTCGAAAATATGATTTTCAATTTTGTAAAGATAAGTAACAAGGATTATTACATAAAAAAGAAAGAAAGAAAAGAAAACATAATTGATTGCAACTCCGCTTTATATGAAAAATGCGTTTATTTGTGGAGATAAAAAAAAAAAGCGATCATTACATTCTGCGTCAACTTCAACGCAAAATGTGATAACCCAAAGAAGTGTGTTTATACATTTTGCATCATTACATTCTGTGATCACCTCGACGCAGTATTTAATAACGCAAAATGTTATAATTTTAGTTTGTTAAATTTTGCATCATCATTACGTTTTGTGTTGCAACAATGTATTTTTTATGCCCCCGTATCCGAAGATTCGGGGGTATATAGTTTTTGCCCTGTCCGTCCGTCTGTCTGTCTGTCTGTTTGTCTGTTTATCTGTCTGTTTATCCGCAAAAACCTTAACATTGCTCATAACTTTTGATTGGTGGGAGCTATGGCTTTCATATTTCACATGTGTATTCCTTGTGACAAGACCTTTCTTTGGATACCATCATGTGTGACCTTTTGACCTTGACCTTGGAGTTGACCTAGTTTTGCAAAATTTTACCCAACTTTAACCTTGATCATAACTTTTGAACAGTTGATGCTAGGGCTTTCATACTTCACATGTGTAATCCTTGTGTCGAGACCTTCCTTTGGATACCAACAACTTTGACCTTTTGACCTTGACCTTGGAGTTTTACTTACTTTTGAAAAAATTAAACCTTGATCATAACTTTTGAACGATTGGTGCTTCAGTTTTCATATTTCACCTGTATATTTCTTGTGAGAGGCCTTTCCTAAGGCACCATTAATTTTGACAATTTGACCTTGACCTTGATGTTTGACTTATTTTTGAAAAACTTTAACCTTTTCTATATCTATTTAATGGTTGCTGCTAGGGTTTTCATATTTCACAGGTATATTCCTCGAGACAAGACCTTACTTTGGGTACCAACTTATTTGATTTGCATTTGAGAAAGTTTAACCTTTGCTATAAGTTGCCATACGGGGGCATCAGTGTTTCACAAACACATCTTGTTTTCTTCTGCAAGAGCTTTGGTGATATTCTACATTTACAGGATTTGTACACGTAATGCAAGTTATAGGGACAATGACACTGACCTAATATGATTCGTTTTTAAAGGGATATTAATTGGAGTTCATGTAACCCCTTCATGAATTACATACATATCACATACATTCAATGTTTAAAATTTCTGAAATCAAACCTTTTAAACCGTTTCACCCTTTAAAAGAGTGTAGGCTACACATATCCAAATATATACTTGTATTTGGTCCTGTTGACTTTCTCGTGATACTTATTTTTATTTATAGTTTTTGTACAAACTTAGCCTGATTAGGTTTCAAGAACAATAAATATACTCTGTATGAATTTCGAGTATTAAAATCTCATTCCTTTCTTTCATAATGCTGTGTGTAAAATTAATTCAATAAAAACGTATTGTGTTCTCGTGGTTCATTAGTGCTGAATACCATACTTATAAAGCTGTTCAGAGTCATCCGGCAGGATATTTACAAACGATTCATTTAGGAAAAAGTTTCCTTTTTTATTTTTAACATTTCTTTTACGATTGCTACAATTTTCTTTCGCTGTAGATTATACATGTACTGAAAAATATAAAAAGTCAAAGGTTTTGTATGCAATGTGCCAGTTGTCACAATTTTTATTCAATTAAATTTTATGTGGTTGGTAATCAAAAATATGCATGAAAAATATTATGATCTATTAAATAACACATTAGATATACATGTATATATTATGTTTTGCCATTTGGGTCAGTTTCTAATCAGTCTGTGTCGTCACATATGACCAGATTTGGTGCTTCCGCTGACCAGGTGTGTTTGGGTACTTGCTTTACTGAACTTGTGGTCCTTAGCAATAGCAATTTATAATAATCTTTTGATTTATGACGTATCAGTTGTAATTCTTGAAAGAAAGGTTTCTTTAAAGCAATACTCAACTATTAGAGTCAGATTTTCTCCATATAACGCATCTTTAATCGTCTTAACCTTTTCTTTAAACGTCCGAATAAACAAATCAAGTGCGAAACCAGAGTGGCCATTCTGTAATTCTTATTACACACCACAATGGACAGGTCCGAGGTGACATGGCAGAAATACGCATCAAAAGCTGTTCTAGTGGGCTCAATGTTAAAACATTGCAAGGATCATCTGAGCATCCGGAAAGAACTCCGTAAATTTATGAAAGAGATGAAAGAGGATTCTATACGGACGAAACAAGAGTTGAAAGAGGAGGATCCAGCAGTGCGTCAGTGGTACATCAGAAGACGATCGAGTGCCTCGGCTCCTACTCTTAGCCTCAGAGAAACAAGTGTAAATCAACAGGTCAGTAATGATGAACATTAATAAGAACAATTGATGAACGATCTGCCGCAGCTTAATTTGATCTACATTGTAAAGGCACAGAAGATTAACACTTTTCCTACTACTTGTTTCATACGTGTATAATGTACTTAAAATTGTAAAAAAAAAAAAAAAAAAAAAAAAAAAAAAAAAAAAAAAAAAAGTGTTCACTTTTAGTGTCCAGTCCAATTAATTGCCATTAAAATGTTCAGAACTGTGTTTGGCAAGACCAAGTAATACTAGTAGTTTAAACTGCATGGACAAAGCAAATTCAAAATTCTATCAAAGATTCATTTTATTTCATTTCCAGGAGAGCCTTCATTGTAAGCTATGTGATGCAAAGTTTGAGAATCCAAAAGACGAGTACCCATGTCGTGTTTGTGACAGAGTGTTCCACAAGGATTGTGTTCTGCTCATGCAGGATCTCCATCCATCACACGTGACCGCCATAGAAAGAGCAAACACCAGCACGGGATGGAGTTGTCCAACATGTGTAAGGTCTATAGTAGTGTTGTTGCAGTGATGCAACCCACAACTTACATGTAACTTTTATGGCTATTGATAACTTAAAAGCTCTTAATATAGATAATAATATATAAACTCTTGTCATGATCAGTTTATAAAAAGTATTTATTGCTGACCAGTCTGTTTTTTCCACTGATAGGATGATTTGAGTTTCTTATTGACTGAAAAGGAGCTACAGTGCATTATTGAAACTTTTGATGAAGAAATCAACCCAAAAGGTTAAGTAGTCAGCGCTTATGTGATTTTTTGTTTTGTTTTGTTTTTTGTTTTGTTTTTGTTTTTTTTGTTTTTTTTGTTTTTTAGACACAATATAGGAAATCAACAAATTGTTATTTTCAATTCTATTTAAAAAATAATATCCCGGTTTTCTGTCAATGACAGGGGGTCAAATCACTTTCGATGATTTCATCGCATATAAGAAAAAACAACTTGGACATCAGGTTACAGAAGAAGAGCAAAAACTCTTTGACCTTGAATTCCGATTGGTTGATACGGATGGCAGTGGAACTATTGATTGGTGGGAATTTTTAAATTTCCAAGCTAAAGTCAAAATTTCCTCACGAAATCAGGTAACACCATAAGTAGGTAAAGTAAATAAGTAAATAACTTATTATAGTGACGTGTTATACAGTACAATGGGTAACACTTGATACAAATTAAATTTTCAATCACCAATCTTACTTGTATGTCACTGTAAACAAAAGATAATAATAAATGAATATATATACACATATTACTCATGACGTTTTTAATCAAGACATCCAATCTTGACCTAGGCAATTTGTGAAATGCGTTAACTTGTAAAATCTAAGTAACGCAAAAATCGGAAATTATCATTATTAGTAATCAAAATCTTGAAGAAATAGTAGCACCATGTAAGATGACAGCTGTGATGCTTTACAGAATGAGTTGGTGGATATGCTGACAGAGAAAGAAGTTCTGATGGCAAAGATGGCCTTCTCCCAGTTAGATGAAAACGATGATGGCAGGATATCGGAGTTAGAAGCCAGGAGAGTGATCGATGAGTATACCAGTCGGTTCAACTTACCTGATGAGCAAGTATTCATAAACGTTTCAGACAGATCAGTAATGTGTAATACATGTAGTTTCGCATTATTCACACACTTCATCACCTAATCATGAGAAAAATACTGAGTGGTTCCGCAGAATAGCTTGGACCATTTTTTTCTTGCTCGTCAGATTTTTTTGGTAGGTTGCCTCCCCCTTTTGAAAATGTTGCTACGGGCCTGATCATAGTCTGTACCTGTTTAATTAAGAAGCTTCCCCTGGAAGGGTCTCTGTATAGTAAAACTTGATTTACTTAGAAAATGTCTCCCCTGTCAATTTACAAAATAGAAATTAATCCAAGCGGGGGCTGGTTTTTGAGAAAAAAAAACTTCTATAGAAAGTCTTTCTAACGGGATTTACTATAAGCTTTGAATACGGAGGTAAAATGGCTAAGATTTTCTTTGCATTTTGAAGGAGACGACATAGTATTGGGGAAACCTACGCAAAACACGCCCTAGCTCGAGCTATGTCACTCGATGTTAAGGAACTGGGGTCAGTATAGCATCCATAATATTCCATTATAACTCTATTATTTTTTTTTTTTTACTATATGTACTGTCTACGAAAATATATTTTTTATCGCCTCTCTCTTTTATTTGCAGCAGTGTCACGTGGAATGAATTCTTGCATGGTCAAGCTCAATACATTCTAGTTACACGTCCAAATATGACATTTTTAGGACAAGGGCAGCTGTTTCAAGACAAAAACCCGACAAAATCGTAAATTAGACACTGATTTTCATACTCTTGAATTTTTCTCTGTATATTGAGACAACCTTGATATGAATTAAATGACTTGATCATCAGTGTTTCTCATCGTTTCTTCCCCAAAATTGTGCCTTACAGATATTCCCTATAAGACTTCTGAAAGCTTTTTCCCACAATTTTCAAGGACTCCCCCCCCCCCCCCCCCTTGAACGCAAGTATAATAATATCAGCATGACTATACTCTTTTTGTACTTAATTTATTTAAGCGCCTTTTTGATTAAATCATTAAAGCAACATTTAAAATTATTAAAGGAATGATAAGCCTTAACGATCACCAGCAGGTTAGACGTTACCGTTGCATATTTCTTTTTATGGAATCAGATTAGAGAAAACGTAAATCTTTTAATCACCATTTCCTGAAATCGTTTTATCCTGTAAATTAATTTAGCAAACTTGCTGTTGTTATAAACTAATGACAAAGTTGCAAAGTGTTTGAACATTAATTACATTGCATTTTTCACTATTTTGGAAAGAGAGTATACATCGAGAGGCGATTGGGAAATTTTTCACATTCTAGTGTTATTGTATTTTACCTTCATCATTAACTAGGGCAAATACATGTATGCAATTTAAATTTACTTTTCGTCATTTTAATACTACTTATTAGATTTGTTAATGACTGTCTACAGAATTACTGCATTTTGGGTAGATCAATCCATAGACACACGTCTTTGATCAAGCTCATAGACGGCGGAGCGAAGCAGGGCAAAATGATCAAAATAAATCGCATACCGGTACTTCATGCTAATAGGAGAATTCAACTAATTATTCCTAACTGAGTGGAAATGAGAAACATAGTATTTTTTATGAACAACAACTATGCCACGTAACCCCATGATCAAAAAGCAATTCAAGTTGATCTGTTAACAGGCCAACCCATGGTACAGATACGAACAGAATCTATTGAAAGTTTGCCAAAATTATTTGTTTAAAAAGGACGCCCTTTTTAGGTCACCTGAGACATTCAGGTGACCTATTGCTATCCGTTTTCGTTCGTCGTCGTGTGTCATGCGTTAACATTTGAACATTTTTAGCTTCTTCTCTGAAACCGCTTAACCAATTTCAACCAAATTTGGCATACAGCATCTATGGGTAAAGGGAAACAAAAAATTTGAATTTCATGGTCCCTGCCCCTCCCCCCCCCCGGGGGGGGGACTGAGATGTGGGGCTAAAACCACCAAAATGAATGCAATCTTTAAAAATCTTCTTTACTCCTGGACATCAAGCAGTCAAATTGTTGGCATGATTGTAATAAGCATTGAGCCCTCTACCAAAACTGTGAATTTCATGGCCCCAGGGACAGAGGTTCTGGTGTTAGGGCGGGACACTATTGATTATATAGTGAAAATACATTAATTCATTGAAAATCTCCATCTCTGCTCCTGCATATTAAATAAACTAACTAAGAACATAGTTATGACGACAATGGTTGCCTCTTCCAAAATTGTGAATTTCATGGCCCCTGGGTCAGGGGTTTTGGTGTTAGCGCAGGGCTCTATTTATCATATATAGTGAAAAATACTGAAAATACATTAATTCATTGAAAATCTTCTCTGCTCCTGGGTATTAAATAAACTAACTAAGAACATAGTTATGGTGAGCATGGCTGCCTTTTCAGAAATTGTTAATTTCATGGCCCCTGGGTCAGGGATTCTGGTGTCAGGGCGGAACTCTATTGATTATATAGTAAAATTGCATTAAGTCTTTGAAAATCTTCTTCTCTGCTCCTGGGTATTATTCAAACAAAGGAACTGCATGGTATGATAAGGAAGAGTGCCTATTCCAAAATTATGTAACTCATGGCCCCTGGGTGAGGGGTTCCCGTGAAGGGGGGGGGCTCTATTGATTATATAGTGAAAATACATAATTTCTTTCAAAATATTTTTTCTACTACTGGTTATAAAGCAAAGAAAGAAGTGTATAATTATGATGAGCAAGGGTGCTTCTTCCAGAATTGTGAGTTAATGGCCCTTAGGTCAGATGTTCTGGTGTAAGGGTGGGTTGCTTTATTTATTTAATAATAATAAAAGTACAATTGCATTTCTTTTAAAATCTTCTATGCTTCTGGGCATATTGGAGGCAAACAGAGTAAAAGTTTTAATATGCATGGGTATTTTTACCAGAATTTGAACACCTGGACCATCTAGTCAAGTGTTCTGGTCCTGGCCAGGGCTCTATTAACTTGTTATCTGCTGAGCAAAGTTATTCCCCTTTGCCATTCACCTTTTATAATTAATCACTGTAAATAATGTCTTTGAAAGGTTCATAGAATAAGAGAATTATGCAAGAATATTTATTGTATAATACAAAAAGTAGTTTTAATGATCAGGTAGACTTGGAAATAATTTATGAATAAAAATGAGGGGAAAAAAAGAACTTATCTTTTTAAATGTTCTTCAAAGGCCAAGAGAGGCCAATGTGAGAAGTAATAATATAGGGTTATAAAATAGACATTCTGTTAATAGTCTGCATGGTAATAGTGATAAATGGGGGACAGATAGATACTAGACCAATTATTTTGTTGATGCTAATCATATTATTTTTCTTGCTTTTGGGCAACAAAGCTTCATTTATCAGTTTATGGATCCTCTAAACTGTTGTATTGTACTCGGGTGACCGTTAAGGCCCTTGGGCCTCTTGTTCAAGTTCTTGCAGTCGACAAAATTCATTTTTTAGCTAGAGAAGGAATTACCTTTGACGCCCCCCCCCCCCCCCCCCGAAAAATTAATACATTGAAACCAAACGAATTTCGTTTTCGGAAACAAAAGCCACACATTTTTTACTAAAAGCAATTTGGCTGAGTTCTACAACGGATCTCAAGTTGCTGCTAGAAATTTTTCTCAGTCTGGCTTTTGAAAAATAATGTTCACAGCTTGACCACAATGCAAGAAACACATCACATGGGATCAAAAGAAAATGGATAGCATTAGGCCACCTGAGTGTCTTATGTGACAGAATCTTTATGCTGCTTGCTTCCCATCTGCAACAAACATGTCAATTACCTACAACACCTTTTGTTTTGGGGAACCATAAAAAAAATAATAAAGCATTTTTAAGCCTTTGCCAATAAATGAGGTTTATTTGCTGCATAATTATTGTAAGAAGGAATACTAACAAAAACATGTTAAGTAGATAAATCTGTTTTGATTTTCTCACAACACCAGCATATATACACCTAATATCGGTTCATAAACGGGAAATAACTCCAGTTATATAATAGTACATCACAGATTAATAAAATGTCAAATAATATGCATTTACAAATGCATCTAATATTTCATTTACTTAGATTGGTCATCTTTAATCATTGTATGTCAATGCACTTATGGGTTTCTTCCATTTTCTACATAACTTACATCAAAATAAACCAATTCTAAATGCTTGAATATTGTATATAAACAACAATGACTTTAAGGACACAGCATTCTTCTCCACTAAGAAAAGAAATTATGGTGAAGAACACTGTGTGTTCATTTTATACATTTGACATTAATTTTCACTCCATAAACTTTTGTCAAATTAAAAAAATCCATAATAGATAGAAATACTGTATTACTGTTATTTTCGCCCCATGTTATTTTCGCTCTTTCACATGAGCAGAAAATTTTGACCCGTTTAAAATTCGCCAAGTCAGGGTCATGTTTAACAAATTACACTGTTTTCTTTGAATTCACCCAGTCTAAAATTCGCCCACTTGTGTCCAGGGCGAAAATAAAACGGAGGCAAATATTTCTCTGTATACAGTAGCCAGATTGTGAAGTATTCATAATTTGATGAAATGAAATAATGCTAAAAAAAATAGATTAAAGCACACCACAGGTTATTTTAAACAATTCAAGGTCAGAATTCAAGGCCATCCTTGAGGGTTCTCTTGATTTATTATCATGTAAGATGTTAATCAGCATGCATCACACTAAACTGAGCTTAATGAATTATTTACATGGTTAACTCAGAAGATGATATATAGTAGGTTACATCTATTGATTTACCATGATATCAGTAGATAATTATCATATTCAGAGAACCAATTCAACCAAAACAAAAATGAATGTTTATCACCATCTATTTTTAACGTCAAGAATGTTGTCACATAATCTGATTTACCTATGTGAAGTTAGAAAATTTAATTAGGAGAAGCCACCTACATTGACATCAATACATAACACTTACTGTTCCGAGGTCAAAATGTTAATATTCAACTATAATGGCGATAGTTAATCACTTCAGTGTGATGAAAAGATATCTAAAATATGTTTTACCTCACAATTCAGCTTACTAAGGGTACATATTTACTACTATTTTCAAATGCTCAGAATATATTGCACACCTATTACTTCAAAACTGTATAAAAAAATCTTGCAAATATATGGGGAGAATACATTAAAACATTTACCTGTATGAGTAAATACTGTTCTGACACTAGTCATTTAACAAATGTACTAAAAATCACAATAATATATCATATCAATACAAATAAAATACAATAAATCCCAAAGAAAATACATGCAATCCTAATTCTACAGTAAAGATACAAATATTTACAGTCATATCTGTATCTCCTTTATATTACCAGTTAGTTACAGTTTCAAATTCTTTGTTATTAATCATAGTTAAAACAAATTACTTTATATAACTGAAAAGATTACCATCCTCTTCATCTCTTGAATGTCATACTGTTTATTCACAGAAAAATGATCTATATTACTGTCTCTGAAACTCAACATCATTACTGAAACCAAACTAATTCCGTAAGTCAATCGGTTTATTCACTGTATATATCATACTGACAAAATAGTCCAGTAATTATGAAGCTATTCATCATAGAGAGTTAAGAGTATTCCAACAATTCTGATATGAGTTAATTCACAACCTGTACAAAAACACTGTCATCCTCCAGGGTACAAATTTCTACCTTGACTTTCCACTTCCATAGGTGATATGCACATCAATTTTCCATAATTTAATGGTTTAAACCTTTGCTTACCCATAAATGTTTTATTTCAAAAATGAAGGTATATTTTATGTAGACATTATTTTCATTTATCCCTGAAATTGTGCAGCAACATTATTCTAGACAATATCCTTAAAAAATATCTATAAATTTCCCCCCCCCCCCCAACTTTTACGTCATTCTTTCTGATTCACAATTACTTGATTGTCTATTAAGTCTTCTATCTGTCAAATACATTCACTACCTATCCAACAAAATTGCCTGTAACAAAGATCTAAATGCTGACAAAACAACAAGGAAGCACCAATACAACATCCAAAGCAGCCATTATATAATGGAAAGACATTTGGGTGATATACACAAAAACTTATTATATCAATGAAATATCACCCTTTATTATGCACCAACTTAGATTATTTTGACAATTCATACACAAAATTTTCATCCCTCTTTTCTTAAGTCTCCACAATCTCAGAAACTAGAATACGACTCAGGTTATGAGGTATTTCAAAAGAGGCAACACTGCTCATTAATAACAACCTCTACTATTTAAAACATATTCTTTACAAAAAGAAAAGAAAAAAGTCAAATTTCATATTAACTGTGACTAGCAAGTGTAAATTGAATTGCACTACATTTTTCTGGCTCATACTAAAATATACTGTACATAATATGATTATCATGGATATTTAGGAGTATTTTGGAAAAACATTGAACATTCTTAAAATGCAAAATTGTGTCAGAATTAAAATGCAAACACAAGCAGGAATATTTTTGAAATTACAAAAATATGCTGTGGCACAATTTCTCTTATTTAAAGCATTATATTACTCTTTTTTGAATGAAATGTTAATTTTTTAAAAATCCAATTCCCACCAGTATTAAAGAATTTATCAATAGAGTCAGTCATTTTACAGCTAACAAGAGGCCCATGGGCCACATCGCTCACCTGAGTAACTTTGGCCATGCTGTTCTTTACCAGATTTCCCCCTTTTAATATACCTATTGTGGCCCCGCCCTACCACCGGGGGTCAAAATTTGAACAATTTAGAATCTACACTACCTCAGGATGCTTCCAAATATGTCTCAGCTTTATTGGTCCAGTGGTTCTTGAAAAGAAGATTTTTAAAGATTTTTCTTTAAGTTATATATTTCAATGTAAAACTTGGATTCCCTATTGTGTCCCGCCCTACCTTCGGGGGTCATGATTTGAACAATTTAGAATCTACACTACCCCAGGATGCTTCCATATAAGTTTCAGCTTTTCTGGCCCAGTGGTTCTTGAGAAGAAGATTTTTAAATATTTTTCTTATGTATTTCAATGTAAAACTTGGATTCCCTATTGTGGCCCCGCCCTACCCCCGGGGGTCATGATTTGAACAATTTAGATTCTACACTACCCCAGGATGCTTCCATATAAGTTTCAGCTTTTCTGGCCCAGTGGTTCTTGAGAAGAAGATTTTTAAAGATTTTTCTTATGTATTTCAATGTAAAACTTGGATTCCCTATTGTGGCCCCGCCCTACCCCCGGGGGTCATGATTTTAACAATTTAGAATCTACACTATCCCAGGATGCTTCCACATAAGTTTCAGCTTTTCTGGCCCAGTGGTTCTTGAGAAGAAGATTTTTTAATGACCCCACCCTATTTTTGTCTTTTCTTGATTATCTCCCCTTGTAAGGGGACTTGACCCTTTATTTTAACAATTTACACTCCCCTTCACGCAAGGATACTTTGTACCAAGTTTGGTTAAAATTGGCCCAGTGGTTCTTGAGAAGAAGATGAAAATGTGAAAAGTTTACAGACGGACGGACAGACGGACGGACGGACAGACGGACGGACGACGGACAACGGGTGATCAGAAAAGCTCACTTGAGCTTTCAGCTCAGGTGAGCTAATAACAAAAGCATTTACTATCAGTCAACACCTACAGTACAATCACAACTTACTGACACTTAAATCACAGCAGAGATTAGATATGGTGGCCTGCACCATACTATTATATTTTACAAAATGATTTTGACCTATGCAATGAAAAGAAAATAAAGGCAAGATTATTCCATGTGATAACAAGCCTGTTGATAACTTTAACATCTCCAGGCTTGTTTTTCAAATGTTGCTCTGGATGCTTTTATTACAAGAACAATAGTAACTAATATCAAAATCAGTAGAGACAATAAAGTTCCATATAAAAAAATTAATACAACTTAAATTACGATGGTTAACATCCAAAAAAAAAAAAAAAAATCAAGCTGCGTAAAAATTTCTTTGCATACTACTCAAATTGTTTACAAAAAAACATTGAAAAAAAGTTCTTAAAAATGTTCAATTCAAACATAAATTTGCGTAATTATGAAACACATGATGGTAGACATGGGACCTTTATAATAATCACAGACAAACAGAAAGCTTGCTTTGCTAGGGGCCGGTGGGGTTTGTAGATTATCAGTTGGCACATCAGGATGGTGGAGGGGTGGTGGGGCTTTTCCTGTCCTGACTGGTTTGAAAACTGTTGATAAATTTGGCAATGTAGTCATATCCTGCTTCTTGGGCGAGTTCTGCAGCAGTTTTACCTTCCTGTAATCAAAAGAAACACGTCCTAACAATAATCAGGTTATTATTCATTAAGGCTGCTTCAAATCCTGTAAATGCATCTGGTACCATGAGACTATCGAGTATAAATGTCGAGGTGCATGTATATCATACCTTGTTTTTGAGCCTTGTGTCCACACCATAAGACATGAGCAATTTCATCACCTTCATGTGGCCAAATAGGGCTGCAGCATGAAGTGGCGTCTCCCCATTCTGAAATCAAAGTAATGTAAAACACAATTAATGATAGAAAACAAAGAACATTATAGTGATTGACATTTACAAGTGAGCCAAAATCTCAAATGTTTATTCAGTGATTATTTTGTTTCACCTCGGGAAAAATAGCATATAAAGTTAAATTGCATTAGTAAGCATTATACATTCAAGTTTGGTTCTGGTAGGGCTACAGATACATGTAATTGGGGACAGACCTGCTACAATTTTAATATGCCACACAAAAGGAATGAAACAACTTGAACATAGCTGATAGTCATAATCTCTGTAAGTTTGGTCCTGGTAGTGTTCACAGCTACTTAGGAAAATGACCTTTTCTAAAAAATATTAATCTGGAATGCAAAGACCAGGGATATACATGTATAGCAAAGGCTCATGTCAACTTTATTGAGGTGAAATTTAAAAACCAGATAGTTAAAATATGCAAAATTTAGATATTCTTTAACTTTATTGTATCATGACATGAAGACCTTTAAATGCCATGATATGACAACACACTCTTACTGAAAACCTTCCATACCTTGAGTAGACCCAAGTTTGGTTTGTGTTTTAGGAGTTGCTCAGCAACATCTAAATGGCCTTTATGACATGCCTTGAATAGGGGAGTTGCACCATCCTATTAAGAAAACATCAGTCCTTCATCTAATTATTCTTCATTTCTAACACATGCATTTTGAGAGCAAATTAACATATTGCTTTGGAAGTTTATAAAAAAACAAGAGGCCCATGGGCCACATCGCTCACCTGAGTAACTTTGGCCATGCTGTTCTTTACCAGATTTCCCCCTTTTAATATACCTATTGTGGCCCCGCCCTACCCCTGGGGGTCAGGATTTGAACAATTTAGATTCTACACTACCCCAGGATGCTTCCATATATAAGTTTCAGCTTTTCTGACCCAGTGGTTCTTGAAAAGAAAATTTTTTAAGATTTTTCTTATATATTTCAATGTAAAACTTGGATTCCTTATTGTGGCCCCGCCCTACCCCCGGGGGTCATGATTTGAACAATTTAGAATCTACACTACCCCAGGATGCTTCCATATAAGTTTCAGCTTTTCTGGCCCAGTGGTTCTTGAGAAGAAGATTTTTTAAGATTTGTCTTATATATTTCAATGTAAAACTTGGATTCCTTATTGTGGCCCCGCCCTACCCCCGGGGGTCATGATTTGAACAATTTAGAATCCACACTACCCCAGGATGCTTCCATATAAGTTTCAGCTTTTCTGGCCCAGTGGTTCTTGAGAAGAAGATTTTTAAAGATTTTTCCTATATATTTCAATGTAAAACTTGGATTCCCTATTGTGGCCCTGCCCTACCCCCGGGGGTCATGATCTGAACAATTTAGAATCCACACTACCCCAGGATGCTTCCATATAAGTTTCAGCTTTTCTGGCCCAGTGGTTCTTGAGAAGAAGATTTTTAAAGATTTTTCTTATATATTTCAATGTAAAAATTGGATTCCCTATTGTGGCCCCGCCCTACCCCCGGGGGTCATGATCTGAACAATTTAAAATCTACACTACCCCAGGATGCTTCCATATAAGTTTCAGCTTTTCTGGCCCAGTGGTTCTTGAGAAGAAGATTTTTTAATGACCCCACCCTATTTTTGTCTTCTCTTGATTATCTCCCCTTGTGAGGGGACTTGGCCCTTCATTTTAACAATTTAAATTCCCCTTCACCCAAGGATGCTTTGTACCAAGTTTGGTCAAAATTGGCCCAGTGGTTCTTGAGAAGAAGTCAAAAATGTGAAAAGTTTACAGACGGACAGACAGACAGACAGACGGACAGACAGACGGACAGACGGACAGACGGACGGACGGACGACGGACAAAATGTGATCAGAAAAGCTCACTTGAGCCTTCGGCTCAGGTGAGCTAAAAATGAAATGATTTTTTTTTTTCCTTAACAAAAACAGCTTCCTGATGTACCTCTCTGACAGCATCTACTTCAGCACCAGATGATAAGAGCTCTTTTACAATAGAGGTGTGCCCCATTTGTGAAGCTATCCACAAGGGAGTAGCCTGATCCTACAAAATAGATTTTCATACGTTCTTAATTGTCATGGCAGTACTTTCAAATAGAAAGAGCCAAAAAAAAAAAAGGAAGCTGAGAAATTGATGAATTCCATATTCAACATAATTACACAAAATTAATTTCATGTTTATTTACCTGTCAATAAAATTCATATAGTCTTATTTCTTTTTAAAGCTTAACCTTTATGCAAAGAATTGAAAAATTTGGTACCTGTCTTTTAACGTTGACATCAGCACCTCGAGTTATCAGGTACTTTAACAGGTGCAAATGGCCATTTTGTGCAGTGATAAACAGAGGTGTGGCACCATCAATCATTTGAGCATGGAGATCTGCCCCTCTGCTGAGCAATTCCTCCACAACATCCAAATGATTACATTGACAGGCTACAAACAAAGGTGTCCCTCCATCCTGCAAATTTCACACATTGAATCAATACTTATCACACTCTTGATAAAAACTGTAGATGTGCAAAAGTCAAAAATATTCCTCAAACCAATTGTAAAAATTCACAAATTCATTTTACACCCAAAGTTTTCACTGATTTAGTGAGAGTGGTGATGTCTGTAATAGTGAATGATACTACGTGAGCTTTTAAACCAGAGAATATCTAGGCCACACAAACAATGCACCCTATACATGTATTATTTTACATGAACTTACGTAGCTGGCTAGATCTAGTGAAGCTCCACTGTCTAACAACACACGTACAATGTCTAGAAATCCTCCTTGAGCAGCAAAGAACAATGCACAGGTTCCCGTCTGTAATGAAGTTATTTTAAGTACTTAAATCATATAAAGTATTCATACATTGCTAGGATGTGTAAAATGCCTTTCAAAAATTTGTTTATTGTAAATTGCTTTAGAAATAGCACATTTTAGTTTGTGTCCCAATCATGAAAAGGCTACTCAGCAAGACAGTTCTTAGTTTTGAGTCAAAGTCTTTACACTATAGGAAGAATATAAATGCTCCTACATGAAGCAGTTTGCATAAATTTGCTAGTTATTAGCATAAATTAGTACCATAGTTGAAATGTCTTAGGATTATTACCCTAGTTAAAAAGTTTAAGAAATACGACCTAAACTGAAATGTCCCAAGAATTGTGTTGAAATGTACAAGAATTATAACATCATTAAATTAGAAGTCAAAGTAAATGAAATCATGAGAAATTCCACAGTATGTATACTTAATGACAATGGAATCGCAATTTTGGTACTGTACATCTCAAATAACTAGACAATTGATAAAGTAATAAAGAGCCCCCAAGTTATCAATAAGCTTGACCTTTTGAATTTGACCTTTGAGCAAGTGACCTCAGAATCTATAAAGGTCTCTTTTAGATGTGTATAGTAATGAAGAAGAATTCAGAAATCTGCATGTTGAAACATACTCAGATTGTTCCAAAGGTGTGCATGTAAAAAAAGAAGCAAATCAAACCATTCTGAATGTGAAAATAATGTAATGTGAATTTGACCGTTAAACAAATGACCTCAAAATCTTAGGTGTGTTCCTCATATCACTGTTCATCTACGTAGAGAAAATGATTTTTATCTTTTTAAATACCAGATGGACTATATTGTATCACTTAAATAAGTAATAGATATATTGATAGTCTTTACTCCTTTGCCTTGACATTATTTAACTTTTTTTTTAATTACTCCAATCTTGATAAATTATAAATGTAGTAAATATTTATATATGTGACTGCATCACAATAGTCATTTAAACATTCCTGTTATTTGACCATGTGATTCTTATATTTAAAAGTTTCTTTTACAAAGCATTCTCTACTTAAATGAAGGCTATGATTAATAAAATATTCAAATTAATTCTCATTAAAATGGTAACAACAATAATCTATACAGCTTGGAAGGTAATAGTGATCAGATAGTGTGAAATCATTTCAGACAGAAATGTTTTTGCCGTACAAATCATTTGTCAAAAGCCATCTGTTTGCACTAAGACATGAATTCATGAAGTTTTTCTTATTTTACACCTGACATTATATTCTGTTTACCTGTCTGTCATGAATTTATCTTGGTATACTCACAAGTCTGCGAGCTGAAGGATCAGCCCCTTGTTTTAGAAGCTCTTTTACACAGTCAAGATGGTTGTTTGCTGCAGCCAAAATTAATGGAGATGTCCCTTCCTATGAAGAAGCAATATTCACAGATTAAACATAATTTGAAAACAAGAGGCCCATGGGCCACAACACTCACCTGAGTAACTCTGGCCTTGCAGTTTTTAACCTGATTTTCCCCCTTGTAGTACTTATTGTGGCCCCGCCCTAACCCCGGGGGTCATGATTTGAACAATTTAGAATCTACACTATCCCAGGATGCTTCCACATAAGTTTTAGCTTTTCTGGCCCAGTGGTTCTTGAGAAGAAGATTTTTAAAGATTTTTTCTACATATTTCAAAGTAAAACTTGGATTCCCTATTGTGGCCCAGCCCTATCCCGGGGGTCATGATTTTAACTACTTAGAATCTACACTACCCCAGCATGCTTCCACGTAAGTTTCAGCTTTTCTGGCCCACTGGTTCTTGAGAAGAAAATTTTTAAAGATTTTTTCTACATATTTCAATGTAAAACTTGGATTCCCTATTGTGGCCCCACCCTACCCCCGGGGGTCATGATTTGAATAACTTAGAATCTACACTACCCCAGGATGCTTCCACATAAGTTTCCGCTTTTCTGGCCCAGTGGTTCTTGAGAAGAAGATTTTTTAATGACCCCACCCTATTTTTGTCTTTTCTTGATTATCTCCCCTTAGAAGGGAGCATGGCCCTTCATTTTTTAAATTTAAACTCCCCTTCACCAAAGGATGCTTTGTACCAAGCTTGGCTAAAATTGGCCCAATGGTTTTTGGGGAGAAGTTGAAAATGTGAAAAGTTTACAGACGGATGGACAGACGGACGACGGACAATGGGTAATCAGAAAAGCTCACTTGAGCTTTCAGCTCAGGTGAGCTAAAAAAAAACTGAGCCACAATCACAAAAGTATACCCTGTACTTCAAATTGTAAAATCAATATACCAATTAATTTGATAAAACAGCTTGAATTCCTAAATATGAATGTAGGTACATGTATGTGTATAAATACATGTATTTGGAAAAGTCAAACAACAATGGCTGTGAAGTTGAGTATTTTATAATTGTTAGAACTGGGGATAATAAGCAAATAAATTTCATGTCATTCAAAAGGAGTGGAAAGAGTATTTGTATACTAGCTATCTCAGTATTTTGGAATATCAGTAATTCCCAAATTGTAATTACACATCTTCTGGACTTCCAATAGAAGCAAGATTGCTAACTCACCCTTTATCAGAAATGATAGTTTATCTGTATAATGATATGCCTACCTTGTCTTTACAGTCTACATGTACTTTTCCAGTGTCTAGTACACGTTTTAGTTGTTCTAAGTTCCCTTGTAAAGCAGCCAAATGAAGTTGCTGATCTGATGGAGTTTCCTTCTGAAAAATATTTTATGAAATATATACTCAATAGAGAGTTTGAAAATAACACATTGAAGTCATATAGTTCGAGGGCAGTAAAATCAATGGAATATCAATTCCAGGTAGTCACAAAGAGTATGGCAAAGTTCGTGCCATTTTTCATAGTTATGCTGAACAAAATGATTTAATATCAATTCAGTGCTTAAAATTAATACATGCAATTAATAAACATTGCAGAAAAAAAAAATTTTGAATGCTAATTACATTGAACTGTAAAGTCTTGGTAAAGTTTACAAGACAAATGTGTTCACTTAAAAATAGTTTGTAATATAATATATATTTTGTAATATAATATAATATAATATACATACATATATATATATATATATATATATATATATATATATATATATATATATATATATATATATATATATATATATATATAGTGAAATTGTAGTAAAAGTCCACGGTATAGGTAGGTTATAAATTAAAATAAAATCCAAGATAACTTGAACTTGTTTGTTTATCTTGGATTTTATTTTAATTTATATATATATATATATATATATATATATATATATATATATATATATATATATATATATATATATATATATATATATATATACATGTATATATATATATATATATATATATATATATATATATATATATATATATATATATATATATATATATATATATAATTGAGTATAATATAAGGGAGACATTTATTTTTATAGGAGAGATGATATTGGCAAATTCTGTATAATCTACATGACATTTGGTCTGGTAAATAGAAATACTTACCAACCCAAGAGAAGTATTACCAGATCAATATATTTTGTTACAAGAGTTAATAGAAAAACTCAGCTTTTCTCCAAATGCAACCTCCACAGTAGAAAATCTGAGATACTTCTCTGTATGACTGTTTATCAGTGTTATGTAAAAAAGTTCCAAATGTGTTTACTACTTTATAAAAAGTTCTATAAAACTCTATAAAAAGTTAATAAATCCTTTAAAATATTGGCTTCTTTCTTTTTCTTTTTTCTTTGGGGGGGGGGGGGGGGGGGGGAATGGTATTTAGATCTTGGTTACACTACTCAACTATTGGGAGGGTTATAATTATGCATTAAACAAATGTTTTTTTAAAATAGAGTTTTATGCAGTTATGGAATGGGTATCATCGTATGAGGGAAATTAGCATATTTATGGGCCCCCTTGGCAGGAAACTATTTCCCTAAGGTGGACAAGCCATATTAGATGCAATTGCATAAAGCTGTTTCTGTTTGTAGATTAAAATACTAACAGAATTTGATTTGCTCTATTTATTCAAGAAATACTTTACATGTAATGATGTATAGCCCCTGACACTGAAAGTTCACCCCATTACATCAACAACTGGCTCTTTTCTGTTGGGAGCATGTTTTCAGACCTGTCTATCCTTTTTATTGCAGAGGTGTAATCTACGTCCTTGTTTTGGTCAAATTTCAGGGACAAAGGCAAAATTCTTGGAATTTTCCTTATTTGTTCCTAACATCTAACAAACACTGGTATAGCAAAGTTTTTTTTAGATCCCAGGCAAAATTTTACTCTGATATAATGAATTTACAGATACAGAAAACCATACATGTGATATGTACCGGCTGTACGCAAAATATACAGTTTTTCGAGCCCATTCATCGTGTACCGGCAGGACACCAAAATTCACGGAATATGAAAATTTGTACAGTATTTTGAATTTCTCGCTAAATGCCACCATTTTCCTCTCATTCTTGCTCATGAGACACTGGAAAACGTCACCTGTGTTTGACACTTGACCTTCTGATAATTGTGTAGTGTACACAAACCATCGCGTGCGACGGTGTGAACTGCTAATTGGGATAATTATCTTGCTATAAATCCGTATCAAATACCCCTTTAGGTAGCTTTATTTTTTATGGGGTACTTAATTACTGTTAATGTTTCGTATACATAACTTGATTGAAAAAAATTAAGCCAACTTCTAAAGTTGATATACATGACTTAATATACGTGAATCTGACCCAGATCTCCGTAGATATAAAATATACGATGTTTATTACAATGATTACGCTGGAATTTCAGAAGAATTTAAGCGATATTTTATACCATTTTTTGTACCGTTTTTTGATAGGCAGTGTACAGTTTTTTCACCCAAATTCCAGTTTTTTTATGGCTCCTGTACAGTTTTGTGGTCTTTGACTTATCACATGTATGGAAAACTGATTTTGTGTCCTGTAGAGGTTAAAAATTATGATATTTACTTCAAATTTTTGAAAATCTCAGAATCTGAAAATATTGAGCTCACATTATTTTTTGAACTTATACATGTATATATGTGAAATTCAATTCATCAGAAAACTTTAGAAATCCAAACTTAGTTTTGTAATTAATCCTTCCCTGAACTTAATTCTGTATTCAGAATTGAAGGAAAACGTTGCAAATTTTGCTATATATACTTTTACAAATTTGTTATATGGATATATTACGAATTACGGTTATAGCAAAATTAAAATTCACAGGTCCCCAGGACTTTGTTAGTACTGAGTTTAAATGCAGCTATAAATAGACATTGTGAAATTTAGGGCAGCTCTATTTTTAGGAATGTGAAGTCAGCTCTTCAATTTTTAAAAAAATCATTATGTAATACCTACTAACCTACTGTTTGTTTAAAGCTAATCAGCAGTCAGGAGGTGAAAAAGTGACAGAATCGGATAAAGTAGACGTTAACTCAGAAACTATATGACCTTATGTGAAAAGAAACACATTTCTACAATTGATAATTCTTTAAAACAACACCATCTTATTATTGTAGTGTAGATGTAATATTTTGGGTTTAGTATTGTTCTGCATTATCTAAACCCTTGTAGGCTGTAAATATACAATATCACATCAACCATTTATTCATGTACTGTAATCATTGAAACATTTTTTATCATTAGTGCATCGAATACTGTAGAGTAGACTGGTGATTTTTAAACATGACAGAATTATGATTTCTTGCCTTTGGGCACCTTTCACTCATCTTATCAAATATACTGCATGTAGACCTGATAAGGATTTTATCACAAAGTAAATTGTGAAAGTATAATTTTGATTGATATTGGGTTTTCCCAAAAGCCATTCAAATGTACTTTTCTTTTAAAACCCCTCTGACAATTAAGATTTTTTGTTAAAGGATAAACTGTCTTGTCATAAACACTGCACTAGAGCTAGACAGAAATCAGTTATTTTCCAACTGTTTATTTTTTATCCTGTTCTTGAACAGTTTTTAATTATTTCTATTAGATGAAACACAAAGTAAAAATAAGCCTTGTAAAGCAGGTGCATGATTATATACTATAGATTTTCACAAACCTTCAACGACATCTTTGAGGGAACAGAAACTTCTCCAACTTCTGCAGACAAAACGTGTAACTGATTATGAAAAACATCGCCGAAACGCTTTGTCGACTTGGTAAATCGTACATTTTTTTTTATTAATTTCAATTTTTTAAGCTAAGAGAAGGAGAGGAAAACATATATTAATGTTAATTTATAGTTACTCTCTTCAGAAATTTATTTAAAAGCTGTAATTATTTTTGGATTTTTAAAGGCCAAAAGAGATAAATAAAAAAGATTTTATCCCAAAGATCCACAACTATGAACGCATTAACAAAATTAATTTTGAGGGAAAATATCAAAAACTTAATTCTTCAAACTTGTAAAAATACTGTTATTGAATCTTTTTGAGATTTAAATTGCTTATTAGATAGTGAGGAAGAATTTAACTTTTTTGCTCAGAATCATAACATATAAGATGAAGGTTATAAAATTTAGATATATAATCATAAAAAAGTATTAATTTGTTTACCATCCCTCTATACACTATGCATTCTGGGTAAATGACATACCCATGTGCTTCCTCTTTACTCTCACAGCCATTGCAGTCGTGTGTATTTACAATTTATAAAGTACACATTGCTTAAATTCATCATATTTTACAATTCTATAACTAGTAATGTACTTATATACAAACAGAATCTCATATGCTTTTACTTTGAAATCATTTGCAGTAAATATTTGGCAGTATTTAAGCCTGATACAAAAAATAATTTAAATAAAGGGGGGGGGGGGTATAATAACGTTTTAGGTATGCATTTATGTCCCAAGGCTGAGGTTGGTTTTTCACATTTCAGTAAGCTGTCAGTATGCAGAACGATCAGGGAGAATTTGTGGATATGTACATCCCCAGAAAATGGTTGGTCATTTTCTTTACAACCTTTAATTTATCAATCATGAGTTTTTAAAACCCAAAGAAAGCAACCTTGATTATTGTTTCATTTTATTTGGATGTCCCCACAGTGTTAAAAAATAAGATGATATATGTAGTCATATGGTTTTGATGTCACTAGTGATTTGATTCCTTAATTCCAATATATCAATTATCTAAACTGAGTCTGATGTATAAACAGAGGCAATATTTTCAGATACGAGATGTTTTTGTTGATGAAAAATAATTTTTGTTATTTTCTTTTTTCAAAAATAATAACCATAGGCGTGATCATCCTACATTTCAGCTCTGCAAGCAACAGAATAATTGCAGCAAAGGACCATGCTTCAATTCAGATCAATATTGCTGATGTAAGTAGAAGTACATGTAGTTGAACCATATTTATCTTGTTTAAATACTGTACAGCTACTATTCTCTTTAGAGAAGTTGACAGGCTTTCGCCTACATCCAATTCTCTTTACAAGCCTTCATGTTTTGATTCTGGATAACTAATAAATTAAGAACCAGTTACAGCCTACACTTCAACTGACATTTCATCTAAATCATGCCTGAATGTATGCAACAGTCCTGTTATATTAACAATTTCAACATAAATAAACACAACTTTCAACAAAAAAAAAACAACCTTTATGAGTAGTCAATCCATTTTTACAAGTTCTCACTCCAGGAATTTAAACTAATGTTTATCTACCATAGCTTATTAGAAAATATTGAAAATTCTAAGCTGGATAATTTGAAAAATTGGGGAGGATGCATTTTGATGTTCATTATTTAAAAGTTTATGACAATTCACTTTTAATTTAGCATATTATTCAAAATAAATATTGTTATTTATATTTATTTTTACTATTCTCATACAATTAAAATGTAAATTTGAGCTTTAAAAATACTTCATAACTTCCTTTCTCTAAATACTAAAAATCTTTTCTTTTATTCTTAAACAATATAAACACTATCTTTCCATACAAATATTTAAACAAAGAACAAAAGAATTTGAACAAAACTTGAGGAAATAATGCCTTGATAAATTAAACATACATGTACTAGACGATTTGTATTGTGTCATTATTACTTTGTAAAAATATTTCCAGTTTTATCCGAATTATATTTTTTTAATACTTCAAGAGTTACTTGCTCATAATTTAAAAATGGATTAGCGTTAAGTAAAGATTGGTTTTCTTGTGACAGTTGTGTTTATTTATGCTGAAATTGTTAATAAAACACGTCTGTTACGTACATTCTCATTACGATCTCACATAATGTGTTATAGTCATTATGTTACACACCATTATGTTATGTTGTACACCAGCTTTTCCAGACTAAACCAAACATTTAATGAAATAAAGTATTAAAGTTAAAAGAAATATGAAATATAATTATAAAACAAATAATGATTCAATGCTTACATGGAAAAATAAAATGATAAGACTTTTAAAATTAACTTAAATTCTTCAGAGATATTTCCATAATGGACATAACTAAAGTATGCTGATTGGAGTTTGCAAATATTTTCTAATAATTGCTTGCCAGCTGCAATAACAGTGAGGTGTAAAACTTGACCTATTATTGGCCAGGAAGCATTTTGATAATATGGTATACCTGCATATGTCCCAATTAAAATGGCCCATGCATATCTCTTGCATGTGGATATGATGCAATCAACAGTTTTGTGATTCAGTTTATACCAAAAAATATGAAAGCAATACACATCTTTCTAATTTCGTTGCGTCCATGGTGATGCACATTTATTGAAATCTTGTGTCCTGAGGAAAATTAATGCATAATGTACGCAGGGTGCACGTCAGAATTAATCACTGCTACTATACTCCTATGATGCACTGTTATATATGTGTGTTTGAAATTCCAGGTGGATCCTAGCACTGGCCGCATGACTGGATCTAACACAACTTACGCCATCTGTGGAAACATTAGAAGAATGGTATGGGTAACAGAATATGGAAACATGTTGATTGTAACATTACTCTTATCATCATCTGTCCCAGTTCAATATAATCCTGAGTGTAAACACTTACAGATAAAATCCCCGTCAGAATTGTACTCAACTATTTTTTGTGAAGCAAAAATTCATTATCCAAATTTTATAAAATGTTATCTCTTTGCATAAAAGCTGTGTACTACATCTGTCAGTCCTTTCCTCTGTGTCAGTATCAATGACATTGATGCAGTGCTCTTTGACCACTACTAAACAAAATAAGAACGCTGTTGAATGCAGGGAAAAGGTCAAAGTGAGAGAAAAAATATCTGGATTTCAACAATGGTCTGGATTTCAATTTTAGTTCACTCAAGTCACTTACATGTTACTACATGGATTTTAAAAATCCTTATTCAGGAGAATCTAGGAGCCAAGTACTATGCAATGTGGTAACAAACATAGAGTCCTTACGAAATTATAAAATTCATGCCACAAGTCCAGAGGTTCAGTCCCAGGTGGGACTTTCATAACCAAAACATTATACTCAGGTGATTGTTGAGGTCCATAAGCCTCTTGTTAAAAGAGAAAAAGTCCAGGTCAAAGACCTTGAGAAGCTAGATGGCTAGACCATAATGCCAGTGCCAATTTCAAAGGCTTTGATAAGTTGATTATGTTGTGAATACCATATGAATTAAACATTTGAGAAATTGTGTTTTTGAAATGAAACCTTATGATAATCAAACTTGTAGTACATGTACTCTTATTTATATTTATGGAGTAAAATTAAACATAATACATTTAACTTAGGCATCTCTCCCTTTTTAATGCAATTCTTTTATCTTTCAGGGAGAATCTGATGATTCCCTAATCCGATTGGCAAAAAGAGATCATCTCATAGCCCAGTAAGTAGACTCCTCTGATTATGGCAAATAATTATTGTATCAGCTTTTCTGCTAAAAAAAATACATATATACAGTTTAACTTTGGTATCTCAAACATTTATAACTCTAATACCATGAAAATGTCAAAACGTATTTGAAGTCCCAACCACTTTATGTATTTTATCCTCAATATCAAACCCTTGGATATTTCAAAGTTTTTTGTCAGTCCCATGGAGTTCAAGATAATGTACTGTAAATATCTTAGAAAGAAAACATGTATAATCTTTTGATATTCTACTGCAAATTATTATTAATCCCTCCTATAAAACTTTATTCTTAAAGATTAAGACAAAAGAATGATTTATCTCTGTTTGTTTTACAGGAACTTCTGATGAGAATGTGATCTGCTTGGTGTTGTAAACTTGTATCAATAAAGACATCTACAACATCACTTACTTGTATCTTTTTGCACTATTTCAGGTTTCTGTGGTTATATGGTTGTGACTCAGTATCAAGAAAAAATAATAAAATGAAAAAAATAAATGCATTAGAAATAGAGGAATATATTTACAGATGAAAAAAATGCTTTATCATATTGAGTTCTGACTAGATTTATAATTGTTAGCAGGATGGAAGGCAAGAGACCAATTTTTCCTCTTTGATGTATGTTGATAAAACAAGTGGTTCATGGGCTTTGAAACTCCATCGGCTATTACACTCATGTTTAAGATAGATTTTTTACATAAGGCAACTGTATGTTTGTAGCTTCTGTCTTCTAGTTTATAAACATGGCTCTCTCAATTATTTCTGGACTTTTCTTCACATCGAAAATATCCTGGATATAGTCCGTGACTACACGTTGTGTAGAAGAGTATGTCAAGCATGAACTTTTATTATCTGTTATTGGTCCAAGTATAATTCAAGCCCGTAGGAAACAATTTCAGTTGGAGGGGTGGTGGGAGTAACAAAAAATTTTCAGTTGGGGAGGGGGCATTATCCTGCAAAAATGCCTTGACAAGAATAAAAATTAAAAAAAAAAGAACATCAGACATTATTATTGATCATAAGCATAAAGTAGCTATGTTTCCTATAGTATAGTATATATCGGCAAAATTATTGGGATCTACGGCCATGCATTTTCTCCAGCCTTGACCTTTTCCAAAATGACAGCATTGCATCATAGCTTTGACAGTCCGCCATGGTTCCTTCAAATCTTTACTTTTGATAGATTTGAATGATAAAACTTTTAGTAGTCAAACTGCTGAACGTATAAACAGACCCGTAGAAGGCCGGGGGGGGGGGGGCAGGGGGCCCGCCCCCACCTTTTCTGACTATAGTAT